GCAATGTTGAAAACGATGGGCAGGCTTTACTAAACGCTTCAGGACAGAATCAATTGATTTCAGATTGCATGGGTGAGAACCAGCTGGGAAGCAGGTACTGTGAAGCAGAGGGCATTTGCCGTTACTGTTTTGTGAGTTTCTGAAAGCTTTTAAGGCAGTCTGGAAATGCATGTATAGTGATTAGACAGTATTTTTAAAGGGAAGTTTCTTTACAGCAAAGCTCTGTAGTGACAATTGCTTGTATGCTATTTAGTTGTATCAAACACTGGAAAATGAAGTAGTCTGATTTAAAGCTAGCGCAATGCAGCAGTCAGAATCTCCCAGTTGCATTCATTGACCCTGTTCATACAAGGGCTGTAATTAAGAAAAACAGCAACGACTTCAAATTTGGCACCTGAATCACAAGGTTAAAGCAGTAAATGTCGAAGTCTGATAGGTGCCAAGTTAGAAGGAGGTCTCTCTTCTCAGCAATGAAGAGGAGGGCTCAGCCCCCAGGAGAGGAGCAGGCAGTGAGGGAGAGAAAGGCACACAGAGCTCTATGGAGGAATTCAGAGGGATTAAGGCATTGAAGACTGTCAGTCCTGTCTCACAGACTCACAGATTATCAGGCTTTAAATAGTTTTAAATACTTGCCTTTCTGCAAAAGAAAACAATTATTCTAGTTTCTTGGTAAGCAGTGTAAAAGCAGCCAGAGTTTAAAATAAAAAAGTCTCTTTTTTTTTTTGGAGAACTGCTTCTTGCCATCAAAAATCGTTATCTGAGCCCTAATTCTTCTATCACTGTCTTTGTGAAGTAGATATACAACTGGAATTTAAGGGTTATCAATTGGATAATTCTGTAAGAACTTTGGGCAAATAATGCCATTTCAAATAGAAATGTAAGGTCTTACTATGAAAGATGCACATACAACTCAGCTGGTGTTGAGGATACCTTTTTATTTTATTAAAGGTTAAAACAGTCCACTGGAGCACGTAGGCTGTTCTTTTCTAACCGTGGATCATTTAATATAATCCCCATCACTCAAATATGAAGCTTCAAGAATTGTAATTATGATGAACCCTTTTAGTCCTTATCTTTCTAAATTGTGTGCCACAGGCAGAGATCTAGAATGATCCCAGTACCATCTATGTCCAAAACCATATTATTAATGCTGGCTGAAGGTTTTCTGAGATCAAATGTCGTGATGAGTAACGAACAGATTAATAACTATAAATTTCTTACGAATTTCGTTATGCTTTTTTCCTTATCATATATTTATTTTATACATTATATCTTACGTTCTGTAAACTAATTTTGGTGAGGCTTACGTGTAAAGCCTCCAGACAAACATGTTTTGAAATGCATGTGAAAAAATAACAGGATGATCTAACTAGTGTTTAGTAATATGTAAATTTCAGCTTTAATATTTCTAGCTTGTTTTGAGAGGGATGTGACATGTCAAGTGTATCAGGTATATGAATGATGGATTTAAAAGCATGTCTTTTGAAAGAACATAAACCAGCTGGTAAATAAAATTGCCTGTTGGTTAGGGCTGTGCAGAGTCACGCAGGGAACAATTTGTGTTACTCATGTTCCCAGTGCTGCATTTAGTCCATAGGATGATGCTTAATTTTCCAATCCTTATTTCTGCAACTTACGCAGAAGATGGAAGATGAAATACTTTGGTATATTGCATTAACAACAGGAAACTTTCTAGCACTTTTCCATGCACTTTCCTGGGATAATAATTCCATTCACTGTTAGTATTTACTGTGTATTTCTTTGCTCTGCAATATAATTCTTGCTTTCGTCTATTCACCTGGATGCCAGCAAGAAATTAAAATAAAAAGAGTGCACTCTAAATGGATTCCTGAATGCTATTATACAGCATGGCAGGTTTAACAAACAAGCTCAATAAAAGTAGTTCCCACTTTGCTTCAATAAATAGGAAGGTTGTTTGTGTCCTTGGTAAGACAGTATTTGCCCTAGCTTTATTTCTTGTTTATTCTGTTGTACTGTATGTGGGTGCTGCTTTTAGCATTTGTATCTTTAGTGTTCTTTAAAATCAAAACGCTAAAATCAACATCTTCTTTTTCTGCTGAAGAGATGTACTTGATGCAGTCCTCAAAAATGCTTCCAACACGTGCCATTTTTAATTGCTTTCCCAATTAGAATTTCTTAAGCCTAGCTAATATATTTCTGCCTAACTGTGCACTTACTCAAAATGTGGGCACGATGTAGACACCATTCAGATGTGAAGACCTATTACAAGATTGAAATAGATTTCTAATGCATTTATCATTCATCTTTGCAGAGTGTGATTTCAATCAGAAAAAAAAAAAGATGAATGGTTTGACAGTTTCCACCCATATACGCTAAAACATAATATGCTTCTTCTAGTTTTCAGCTATTACAGACTTTAACATGCAATGTGACCTTGGTCTGCAAAGCATGTTTGGTTAGCACAAAAACTTAATCATAAGAAGTCGTAAGTAGAATCCTTCTTCTTTACTGCCCTTTTTCTGGGACTTGGAAATTTATTGCTTGTGGGACAGGTAGGATATGAACAATGGGCCAAATAGAGTCCAGGGTTATCTCATCTGTGTGAAAACTGCTGCTGAAAATCGATGTGACCTCTGCTACACTGTCATCCCAATTCCCACCCTCTGTGTCCTATTTGTCTTTTGGTGGAAGCTTAGATCTGTGTGCTGTCTCTATGTGTCTCTCTTGGGCCAGATTATCAAAATGAATCATTGCCTGCATACCTCTTATATTTCTATTTATTTTCCTGGTGTTGACTAGGTCTGATGAAATATGATTCTTTTTGCATTTGATCCTCACTGCAGCAAGCAGCACCTAATTTAGCTGTGTCTATCTCTTTAAAGAAGAGTAATACTATTTTGAAACTTCAATCTGCTGTACAGTAACATTACAAACCATAGACCATGCAACCTGTCTTCACAGTCAATAGTAATTTTCCTTTCAGCCAATTTAATGTTATTACTTTCATCTTCAAATAGTAGAGATTTCTGGAGATCTTAAAGCAGCGATGGGTTTCCATTATGCATACTTCATGCGTTACTTTCCTTTCCAAATGCCACTTCTGTTTGGTCTGTTGTGACTCCATGACTTAGGTATTATTTCCATGTAGCATCACATGCAACAGCTAACCAGGTCACATTAAAAACTACTACCACTGATAAAAAATACTGATCTGTGACAGATGGTGTATCTCAGTCAGCACAGCCTCTGCGGTCTGAGTGTGTTGCCGGACTGTTTTGTGGGGTTTGTTGTTTTGTTGTTTTTTTTTAAAGGATTATTTAATTTACATGAGCACAGCTTTAAAACGGTAGCTGTGAAGATGTGAAGAGGTCAGTGGCTTTTGTTGTTATTAGTGCTGCAGAATCATTATGAAGTTGTTCCATTTAATGAACTCATAGGGTGAAAACAGAATACTCCCTCAGCAGAGATTTCAGAGAATACTTAGAATCTGGTAATGCTCCCAGCTTTGTTGTCAGTGGGTGTGTTTTTGAGACACGGCAAAAAGCACTTGCAGCTCACTGGGTGCTCCTGGAGGTTGTTAAAGCAGATAATTCTACTGCTGCAGAGACACCAGGGCTTAATTTGTTGTTGTCAGATTCTTTTGGAGTTGTTTTTGAAATAAGAGAGGTGAGAGAAGGGAGGGAGGCCTTTTGATGTGGTGTGGTCTAATTGTAAATCCTGGAATTAATATGACCGAGACACTTGACAAATGAAACTATCTGGACTGGCTGTGCAGCTGCCCTTAGAAAACACATGCATCATGAACTTATGGACAATAGATTAGTTTCAAGCTTTACTAAAAAGCAATTGTGAGGAGATGTTCTTCATAATTTCTGCAAGTGCCAGAGAGATTAAAGGAAAATATTACATATGGACTGCAATTCCCTGGAATGTTACACCAGTATTTTTTAACATCATAGTGTAAAATAAGTGAACGGAGTTTGGCTTTGAAGACTGCTAGCAGATTTTAATGTCATCATTTTCAGCAATAAACTTGATGCTTAAAATGAATATTGGAGAAGTAGTACACAAAGGAGGGGGGATCCGAGACAAGGAGATACATGTATTATTGTCCTAAAACAGCATTAAGTTGCCCTATTAAAAAAGTGAGTTCAGATTCATGCTAGTAAGGATTTGTGACAAAATTTAAAGGATTTGGGGAAAATAATTGCTAATACCATCACTTCTTTCTGAGTACACATTTCTACTGTCCATGCATAGCTTGATCTTTAGCAACATGACCAAACTGAAACAGGGAGTGCAGGGGAAGTTACAGGGTCCCGGTAATGCAGTGTGCCAGGGATGCATCCATCCAGCTGTAGGCAGTGCATCACGAGAGCATGGCTTACCCCTCTCCTCCCCAGTCGCTCCTGTGCCCCCACCACCAGCTCTGTGCCCCCAGCAGACAGAACTCAGCATGGTGCTTCAAGCTGCTGCCCATGGTGGGGCTGACCACAGCATGGCACCTGCCAGGGGAGCCTGCACAGATGCCTCTCTGACAGGCAGAGCCAGTGCTGGAGGAGATGACTCAGTAGGGATTATTTACTGCTGAGTATGGGAAGGATAATGCTAAAAAGGATAAAGAGATGTGGTACATTTCTTGATTAGAATTTTTTCAAGGTTATAGTGACTAAAAATGCTCATCGCAGAATAGCAAACATGATAGAATGAAGAAAAGTCATTCAGGTTTAATGAACTGCATAATACTGTTATAATTCGGTAGTATAATTTTGTAGAATTTGAGATATAATGGCCTATACTCTATTAGAGCGATGCTATAGCCATAAGTATATTTATTATTGCTCTGTATTGTTTTGCAAACTTGCCTTAGTAATAACAATGGCTGCCCAAAGACCAAAACGTATCAGCTTTACTACTATGCTTGTATTTTGACTTCCAGGGAAACAGTTTCTAAAAATCACTTTGACCTCCATATTTCCAATAGTTTCTGATCTTGCTTTTAAAACCTGTCTTTACAGAAGAGGTCCAGATTGCCATTCCAATAATGAAACCAACCTTAGATAAAGTCCAACTGGCTGGACAGGCCTTGCCTCCTGGATTTCCAGCGCCATTTCTTTTTGCTGATGGTCTTTCATCAGTTGAAACACTATTAACCAACATTCAGGTAAGTTATTCTCTATAGGGCCAGACTATTTATAACAGATAAAATGTATTTCTTCTGCCACTCTTTTAGAAAGTTAGAAACTATTTTGTATCTGCAATTCTAATTTTTTTTTTTTTAATTTAATGTAATGCCCAGGTTTTCATTCTCCGGCCTTATCGATTGTGGAAACATTTTATGCATTGTCTATTTGACTTAATAGTTGGCAATAACGGTCATATTAAAATTCACCAGTCTCATTATTTCTCCTTTGCTTTTCCCTGCAGTTGACCAAGGTCAGCAATGATATGGTATTCCATTTGTAATAAACCATACCAGTAGGATGAATGTGCAAAAGCTATACCACAAAATTGCTCATATTTAACATTTAGGCACTTTAAATGCCCAGGTGCATTCCTTGTCTATAGGCTCCTGAGTTTTTGTTATTGGTGGTTTTTTTCTAAAGGGAGTAAAATAAATAAATGGATAAATTTTGTCACTGCTGAAACAAAACAGTATTTTCAGGTCTCACATTTGCATGTGTTTTAGGGCCTGCTGAAAGTGGCTGTGGACAATGCCAGAGTCCAGGAAAAGCAGATACAGCAGGAAAAGAAAGAGTTAAAGATGGAGCTTTGTAGAGAGAGAGAACTCAGAGAGAGCTTGGAAAGGCAACTTACAGCTGAACTGCAAAGCAGAGGTAAGTGAATGAAAAATGGAGTTTAGATACCTATTAAATGTGTAACCCTTTGGCATTTCCAGCTGGAACTACTGAGGACTCTGAGTTAACTGACATTCATACTTCAGTGTAATGTAGCAGTGGACTAGCACTGGTAATGAAAGATTTAAATTTAATAAAAACAGAATGAAGCACACGTTTCTGTAAGCAGGCAGAACAGTGACTGAAGGATTATTTCCTGGAGGGCAACTGGCCGCAGAGCATTTTGGCTGGTTCTGTAGGGAAAGCTGATTCAGTTTCATGGCTTTCACATGCATTATTACCACACCGTCTGTGTGGTAATATTCCCAGCCCGATTTCTTCATTTGACAGCTTTGATTTCTTTTGTTTCCTGCTATTATCCTTCAAGCATTGAGGATCAGTCTTATTTTGAGAAAGATAATATGTCTGTAATTGGAGTATTTAAATCAGCTAGTTTGTCCTCTAGACAACTTCAGGGCAACCAAATAGTTGCACTTAGGTAGGCAACTCTTGTAATTCAAGATCTGAAACAAATAAACCTAGATAGTTTTCTTTTTCCATCAGAAGAGTGAGATCCAAAAGCTTTCCTAACATGAGGCCTTCTGAGACAGAACCATGACTCTTTAGAAGCTTTTGATAATAATAGGCAATTAAATTGGTAAATCTAAATTTTTCACTGTGATATTGTAAAGCAGGCAGTCTTCTTTTTAAAATTCTAATCTGCATCAAAAGGAGAGAAATAGTTCTTCATACACCAAAAGCCACTTCTGGATTACATCCATGAAATCGGAAAGATAAAGCGAGATAAGGCTACAGATGTAAGTGCCTACTAATCTCTTCCTGTGTGTTTTGAATTGAAATTAGGTTAGGAACCTGCTTGCGGCACCAAGGCTCGCTAAGAGCTGACAAAGGACACTTTAAGTCTAGTTGTGAGGAGTGAGTGAATACTACAGAAGTTGTTAAAGTGCAGGGGGTGTTCAGAATCATTGCATCACTCCAGTGTAAGAGCAGATGAGACAGCTGTATTTCTGTAAAACAAAAGTTAATCTCAGTGTAGGCAGACAAAACACTACATACCTCCACAGTCATATTTAACTCAACAAAAATCTTAAGTCCTTCACAGATTTGGTTGACTTAAGGCTTGAAGAATTTCTCCAGTAATCAGTATCTGCAGAACTGTTTGTTTCTCAGGTCATCACAACATCCACATTATTATAGAAAGTCACAGATAGACTTTTCCACATGGGTTACTCAATTTTCCAAAGTTTTGTTTCCAGATTGCATTCTGGCATTCATAATTTATTAAATCTCTCAGAGATCGCTCATGCAGTGGTATCCATTTATTCCCCTGACTGGTGCAATCACAAATTCAGGTCTGTAAAAATTGATAAGAGTTAGATAAATAAGTCAGCAGAGAAAGTTACATCTCCATGTTTTTTAGCAATTTTTCTCACAATATTGTGATTTAAAATTCACAGATATTTTCACACAGGTGACACAGACAAATAAAATGAATTGCAAAATACTGCAAATGTAAATTCACCTTTCATTTTAACAATACCTGTAAAGAGCATTTGCTAGAATATAGACTAGTAAACGTCATTTTGAAATGGGGTATTTATGTTTAAGCTCAAATTTTTTTTTGTCTCGTAGTTCAACCTACCTTTTGTAGTACCATCACTAGATGGTTCAGTAGTACATCAAACAAAAGAAATGGCAACCTGGTGCCTGTGAAAGATAAGGTTAAACACGGAATTAAGATTCAGGGTTTTAAAAGGAAAAGGTATGTTTTATTGCCTGAATTTATGTAGATGAGGGAATACAACCTTAGGCAGTGTCAGCAGTTCCCAGTGATGATGTGAATCATCTGGCTACAATTAATGCTGTTTAGTTTTCTAGTTACAGGTCTAATTTTATTTATAGTTGGGTTTAAAACTGAGATTGGGAACAGAAGTCAGGAATACTTCCATTTTCTGCCAAATCTTGCAGGGCTATACCAGTGACCTGTGGATGATCTTTGTCAAGGCACTTCCCTGCTTTCCATCTTTAGAAGGGAGATGAGATGACTGTAAAGAACATCAAGCTCTACTAACACAGCTGCAGAGACGCGCTATAATACTTTATTGTTACCCATTTTTAGTCCAGTCAGCCAGTTACAGATATTAAGAGTGTTTTTGTTAGAAGGAGATATTGGTAACGGAGAGAATATTAAAAAGTTCTTGATTTACATGCCTGTATTTTAAGCTAATTTTCAACCTCCTTTCTACCTGGGAAGTTTGTCCTTATTTTCTCTCAAGAGATTCTCACCATGTGCTCAATGCTTTTGTTCCTTTTCTTTCTCGTTTCCTCTTTTTTTTCTTGAACTAGTGATGAAAGGTGAAAGTGCTTTTGCCCGCAGATATACTCACATACATCATTAGCTACCCTTTCTCTATGCATTTCATCTTCATTTCAGTTGGTACCCATTTAACTCAGCTTTTCAGTAGCCTCTCAGGGTCTGAGCTGGCTCTGAAACCCGAGTTCTAGTCAGGAGACTTGCATCGATGGCAATGTTCCGGTCTGAGAATATGATTTAAGATCTTTAACAAGATTGAAAGTTATTTCAGACTAGCTGTTGTTTCAGAACAGGGTATGGGGTTGGTTTTTGCTTGTTTATATCACATTTGTGTCCAGTTTTTTTTTCTTTATCTAGAACTTGTCTCTTGAACATCAGAAATTAAGAAACAAGTTTACTTTATCCGTTATATATTAATTGTGCTATAACAGCTGTTCTTATCATATATTTGCATTCCAGCAACAATTCAGAAACGCTTGAAGAAAGAAAAAAAGGCAAAGAGAAAATTGCAGGAAGCTTTGGAATTTGAATCTAAGAGAAGAGAACAAGTGGAACAGGCGCTTAAACAGGCCACATCAGGTGACGGTCTCAGGATGTTAAATGGTAATGTCTTAGTTGGCCTTTCACAGTTAACATAAAATGATGTTTAATTAAGTTGAAAAACTAGAACATTGCATAAAGCAAATTCCAGAATAAAATGCAAGACCCTTTCCTGAAATAATTAAAAATCTATTTCAGACGGTGTGCTCTGGGTCATGAATTAAAAAAATATCTCTGCGACAAGAGAAACATGGAGCAGTTTACACAGGCATGACAAGAAGTGCTGAATACGTTGCCAGAGAAATCTGTTACAGTGCCAGCTAAGACAATGTGAAATTTGGTCCTTCTAAGGTTCTCTGATCTCTTTTCTCCCAGCAGATTGATTTTGAGAACTGCTGAGTTTCATTTTAAAAGCTGTTTGGCTGAAGTTTGCTCAGCCTCAGGATCTATTAAGTTTGTTAAATATGTATCAGCCTTATGAGCTGATAAGGTTTTTGAATACTTCCCAGATAGTCTTGTGAAACAAATTCAGATCAGTTAATTTCATAGAGGCTGATTACGTTCTGGGTAGTGGGAGTATTCACCTATCCTGCTTAAAGTGGTTCTGAGCAAACTTTAGAATGTTGGTTTGAATCTTTAAGACTAAACCTAGCTGAGTTTTAATTAATTTCAGTTTCTGCAGCTAAAGTTGGTCTTTGCATCTTGCCTATCCTGATGTCTCTGCAGAGGCTCATGAATCAGAGTTATATTCAGTCTCTGCCATGTTTGTATGTCATGTAGTCTTCACATTAACTTTGCTTGTTTGGCTACTGCTAGCAACTGAGCCATAATAACAGAAGCAGACTGCAAAAACTGCTGAGTGAAAGTAATCAGTTTAACTTGGCCTTTGATCTCAGTTGCAAGGGTACCCAAGCTGTTTTTTAAAGGTAGGGCAAGCCTGTCTGTTTGAACTGCCACTGCAGCTCTCTGCAATGGGCCGTGAGTTGTGATTTAGCTGGAGCACCTAAGAGATATAAACTCTTTAACTATGAGAGCAACATCTTTCAGAGGCATTCTCATCTGCTGGGTTTTATAGTCCAGCATATCACTGTACCCAGGAACTGGCTGGCTGTTCTGACACTCTGACAGTGAGCGGTGGTGATTCAGGCATGGATATACTGTATATCCAGGCATGGATATACAGCTTGCCATTGTGCCGTGTGAAGGGACAGGCTCCCGGCAGAGGCTGTGGGCACAGCCAGCAGGGACCTTTTGTACCACCCCTCCTGGGTCAGGAAAATGTCCGTTTCAGATCCCCCAGGCACAGCCAGCACCCTGTGATGAATGTCAGATGAAAACTAAAATCCTCACACTCAGTAAGGTCACTCAGCCAGATGCTGTTGTTGCTGGTAAGCACCTGCCTATCGCACTACATTTACAAGTACTCAGCAGTTCTAGTAGCCACAAATTGAAGGGGACCAACACCCCAGCAATGTGATTAACAGATCTTTACATCTGCTATTGTCGGCCTGGCTGCTAACATTTTGATTTGCAGGCACACTCAGGTAGTCATATATATGTTGGTGCTTGCGAAAAGCTGATATTTACATGCTAATCTGATTGCACATGCAAATCAGGTAGCTCATTAGCATCTTAATCCACAATTTAATTGCAGGTACAATTTTATGGCAAGAAAATGTGAAGGGCTATTCTGAATATTTTTAATTTAACTCTGACGCTCTGTCTCATTTAACAGATGCTGTTATTACAGATGACTTTGTCATTTTGCGTACACACAAAGTATACTCTAAAAGGTTTGAAAAGGGAGAACCTTTTTAGGTTTCTAGTCCAGAGCCTTGAACTTCAAACTACCTAACAACAGTCACCTGCACTTTCTAAAGAAAAAAATATGTAAATTAATAATTTATTTGCTCAAATATATTTATGTGATGTCTGTGTATGTAGTACTGTATTTCATATACACATATATACCTAAGGTACATATACACATGCATTACCCATGTACTGCACTACTCATACACGTACTCGAATCAATTGCCCTGCTCTGACACAGAGCTCAGTCAGGCTGTGTGTGACCAGCAAAATGTCATCTTTGCAACAGGTACTGTCCAGCTCGAGTGATCTGAGAAAGCAGCAGTACAGTTATTCTCTATCTGAGAATATCAGGAATGAGCTTTTACACAGAAATACTTCAAAACTATGCACATCTCCCTTCAGGTGTTCTTGGGGGTTTTTTTGTTTTTTTTGTTTTTTCTTTTCTACTCTAAATTCTAAGTGCTGTATTACGAGGGAAGCAGATGTTTCTCCAGGATTTGAGGTACCCTGGATTCAGATCACATACCCTTCATGCTAATCCTTGTTGGCACAAGGTGGATAATGGCATCTGTTGTCTTAACGCCCTGGGGTGTTGAAGCCCTCAGCCCCACCCCAAAGGATTGCAGACAGAGGTACTATTAGTGTGACATTAAATAGTTCAAGAGCACATCTCATTATGAGACTCTTTCTCAACTTGGAAAAAAACAGCACAATCCATTTTGGAAAACTCTTCTCAGGTACCTGGAAGTCTTTCCCATAATATATTACATGCGTAGTTTCCCTTTGTGATGGAGTACTCTTAAATAACCTGAGCTGATACAGTACTGTCCTTGTTTATAATAATACACTCATACAAACGCATGCACATAGATGCAAACACGTTGACTGGTACTGGTTGTATCTTTTAATTCTCTAACTCTGCAGGTATTTGCCTGAGAGGTAAATTTGGTTTAATAATACCACAGTTTAATTTCCATTTTATTTTTCATGTGTCAGATGCCTTTATTCTCCAAAAGAATTTTATAGATACATTATTATCATGTGTTGATTATTATCTCATCATCAGACAAATGTGAAGCACATTAAAAATAATCCACAGTGAGACCAGTAATGTTTGCACATTCTGAAAACGATTTACTACTGAAAATTCTGTGAAGACCAAATGTTTTATGCCAGGTTATGCAACTTGCCTATCATCTTAGTTTCCTATAAATATTTTTCTAAAGATGCATGAGAGAAGGATAAAGGGGAATGCATTAATCTTCAGTGTCACATCTTTCAGATGCCGGAATTCCAGATATGGAAATAGAACACAACGGAACCCAACATGACAGTGCAGCAATGCAAGGTGCAGTATGTACCTCCTTCTATTACATACACGTTTATCACAAGCCATATTAAAAAATGAAATGCATAGTTTTTTGCACCTCTTGTTTTCCTGTGTTAAGATAAATGTAAATTATGGAACTTCATTTTGTCTTCCTGCTCAATACAGAAAAGAAGTATAGCAAGATTACTACTTTACAAGATCAATAATTGTATTTGTTTAAACAGAGGTGTGGGAAACACTCATACTTAGATACTTATCATACTCAGATATACAGGCTTAGTCCAAAAATGATCTTACAAATGATTTATCTTTTTAAAATATTTCACTTCCGATCCTTGCTTTCCTTTCAAGATCATGCATGTTTTCAAAAAGTACATAAACAGTAGATGATGGAAATCACAAGATGGCAAATTTAGCAAGACAAAAGTTCCAGAAGGCTTAAAAGAAATGTTTAGTATGCATTTAAATAGATGTGCACATACCAGAGGGTATTACGAGAATATCTGATAGAGAATTCTTAGGTACTGCTAGAACCAGTGCAGATAGAGATAGAAACATAACCTTTAGCATTTGTCAACTGTTAAAGGCTTGACTTTGCATACCTCTGGTACGCATCTGTTGTCCATCTGTCATCTATACAGGAAAGCTTTCAAATATTTTTACTGCTGTCGCTTTTTGTGATTTTAGGTTCATATGCTACACATAACAAAAAAGGAGAATTAGATATATACATATATAATACAACATATTTATAGTCATGTATATGTACACATATGATTGGAGTTGTGCACTAAGTATTGCAGTTTGAAAATTGTTACTGCCAGAAATAGTCAAAATATTGGATAAGCACTCGGGACATGTATTGTAATTTGAAATGCAAATGATTCCTACTGTTTCCTAGTGCTATTTACAGTATCTGCTGAGATAAGCGCTCAGTGCTCTCCCAAAAAGATTCTGTGAGTCCAAGGTGTACCTGGGCAGAATCTACTGGAATAAAAAGGAAGTTAATTGTCATTTTTAAAGAAAGAAAAAGGTTACAGTTGGCTCAAATCTGTCTTCTATTAAAAAAGAGTGTAAGTAACTGTGAGAAGGATGATGCATAGCCACTTGCAATAGCCATTTACTTACAGAAGGACTCAGAATTTATTCTCACTTCTTGTGTATTACTGATAAAGAAGAATGCCCTGTGATCTTAGGATTTTAATTTCAGAGAGGTCTTTTGTTTTGTTTGTTTGTTTTTTTTGTTTTGATTTTTTTTTCCCCCTTAAATCTCAGTTTTAAAAGGCTTTGGGTTACAAAGCTTTTTTTCATGTCAAAAACCTGAACCAAGGGAGACCTGGACACTCACTGATTATGTTCAATATCTCTGCATTTGGTACCCCGCTGTGAAAGCAGAATATGTCATTTCTTGTCTTCACCACAGCCATGAATGGCAGCATGGGATTCTCTGACACTTTCAGTTTGGTAATCCTGTTGATATGTAAATGTGTGATGAGTTTATCCAGTTCTTTCACTAAGCACTCTCAGCTGATAGGAAAGCTTTTTAAGATCTCTCTATAGAGCTAGTCTAGGTTTCAAAGTGTTTCTGTTCCTTAGCATCATCTCCTCCATTTTTATTTATGCTGATACTGTAATATCTTTTATTCTGTTTTCTTTTGATTTACAGTTTCTCAAACTTGACAGCAACTCTTGCACTGCAGCCTTAACAGTTTGAGTACACTGCCTCCACTGCCCCCTTCATTTACAGCCTTTGTTTTTTGGACCCTGGGAGAAGGAAGGGTCAAAACACACATCCCTAATGCAAAGCTGCTTCCAAGCATCCAGAATCTCTCTCTAGTGCACAGAAAAAAGCCTCAGTGTCAATGCAGACCTTTCTTTTTTTGTTGTCAATAACTCTGCTGGACAGAAATCTATCATTCACACAGTGCCTTTCCTTTGAAATTCAATTAGTTTCACTGCCAGTATCTCCTTAAGGTGGTTTAAAGGAAAATTGCAAAAATACTGCACAGTGATTAAGTCATATCATATTTTATGCTCATTTCTTAAAATGATTTTATTAACACAAGCTGTTCATTTTCTGAGATTCTAATATGCGTTTTAAATCTCTTCCGTTTAGTAGACTCATTTTCCCTATGCTCTGTGTATTAATTGAACTGAAATTTTGTGCTGACAAGACTAAAAGTTTTTCAAACTTTACAGTCTGTAGCTCTGTCCTCCATACCCCTGAGCTTCTGGTCCAGCACAGCTCAATCTGTGAGGGGCCTGTTAGCTGACAAATAGAAAAGAAATAGTTGCTGTAGTCTGACAGCCCCTGCATAGCTGAGTGGTGCAGGAGCAGGCAATGCATGTGCTGATACCTTCTGCTCTTGCTTCCATAACTCACTCTTGGGCCAGGAAGATACTGCATCAACCATTTTATCAAGCAATCTCCGTTTCACATAAAATAAACATACTGGGTGTCATTAAGTGCACCTTCAGATCAATGTTTTTTGCAAATGACATTCAAGTACCATTCGAGTAGTGCATTTTTGCTGATAAAAGCAAATTAAATTAGTACAACTACAAGTGTGCTGATAAAAACTAAAACCGAACAGCAGCACCATTAGCTAACAAAGTAATATTTTCTCTTTACTGCTTTCTGCCATTTAGTTATTATCCTATTGGAAATCTAATTATAATCCTTTTACTCCCTAGTCAAACTTCACAGTTTTTGCAAGCTTAGCACTGACAAGTGATTTCATTACATTTGATTGCCCGCGCCCAGATTGACTTAACTTCACTCCGAGACCTAAAAGCCCTCTCAGTTTCTCAGATTCCCTGTTTGCACATTACAGCAACAGCTCCTTTAATTAATTAGCATGAACAGCAGTAACATGAACTGCTGAACAGAAAATAACATCATTTTATGATCGCAGGGAGACTTCTCCTTTTGCATGTTTATACCTTAGTTAACTTTTGTATTACTATATTTCATTGTTAGGGGATATTGGAACAATCAGCAAAGCAATGTTATCTTAAAATTCTAAAAAATAGACATTACCATAATACTTGCTGATAACAATTTACAAAAGCTAAAAGACTCTAAATTTCAAGAATGAGGCAGCAGTGTAAGTGGACGGACTTTCCTGAGGTGAAAGCATGGGTCTGTGGCAGAGAGTCAGAGGGCTGCAGCTGGTTTTGTCTGCGAAATAGCCAAGCAGAGAGGTAGCACAGAAACTGCCAGTAGCCATGAATAACTTTTTAATCTGTTTGCCAAAGATGGAGGGCTGTCGAAATCTAGAATATATTTTATTTCTATTATTTAGAGAACAAGCTATATATTTTTTAATATTCGCATATAACCAACCTATTTTTAAATCCAGCCTAAAGTTTAAAAAAAAAAAAAAAAAAAGTTGCAAGATGAAAAAAAAAAAAAAGAAGGGAGGGTAGTGATTTTGAAAAGGTTTGACTTTGGTTATTCTATCAAAATATGCCTTCAAATGCAGTGATCTGCTGAAACCAGCCCTGCTGCTGCTATTCTGTTGCAGGAGACAGTGTCCACATCTTGGAAATGACAGTGCTGCTATCCTGGTATTGCTTTCTCTAGAAAAAATGAAATTTTTACACGAGAGCAGATCAGAACCGTTTGATCAGAAACTGTGATTAACAGAGGCCTGGTATTTTGCTTGTGAGCAAATCCTACCCTGGCTTCTGCAAGGCTTAGATCTTTTCTTCCTCCTCCTGCCCAGTGCTCTGTCTCTAATGCATGTCCTGGCTGAATGAGTGATCCTCGGGTAGCTGCTTTGAGCTGTGTCATTTTGTGTTTTCTAGAAGACCTCTCTTGTTCTAACCTGGAATAATGAGCACCCAATGACAAGGTTCCCATAGCCATGCAGGCAGTGCAGGAACAAGGGAGAGCAGTCCCTTGAGTTGCTAACCAAAAGGCAGCTCTGCTTCTTGTGGTGAGATCCCAGTGCAGGCTGCATTGCTTGCTGTTGGTGATGCAAATGCATGCAAAAAGGGCTGCAGAATGACAGTGCCATGGATCTTGCTCTCTATGCTATCTGTAGTTACACTACACAATATTTTTTCTGAATCTCTGTCTCGGTACGCACTTATGAGATGGAGGAGGCTGAGATGTTGTGATTTACTGAAAACAGAAGGTGAGGAAAGGTTTCCCTTGGAGACTAGGCTGTGAAGGTCCTTACCTTTCTCTTCTTACAAAGGGCTCAAACATTTATTCAATAACTCAGTGTCAGTAGGCTTGGATATTTCCTCAGCAGGAACTACTGTGTTAACTCCCTTCCTACCCACACTGACAGTGGCAATCCAGCATCTGCACAGTTAGAATTCAGTGAACATATTCTTGTCCTTGGCTATTGCTACTCATTAGAAGTCCTATTTTCAGTACAAGTTTTTATATCTATTAATGTGAATGTGGAAATATTTGACATAGTCAAGTCACTATTCCTAGGCATGAAGTAAGCTGGGGAAAAACCACACCTCTGTGAGTGTCACAGCACAGAAAACAACTGAATCAAACTAACCAGCCCCACTTTGTCTGTTAGTTTTATTGTCTTGGCATTGCGTTTTCTATATCTTTGCTGCACTCAGAGCTCAACCTGGCTCTGGTTCAACTAAAATGCTGGCTCCATTTTGCTCAGCTCATGTCCAACCCCGTCCCTGTGCCACCAAGGCCATGGTTCCCACTCTCCAAGCCACCATGCAGAGCTGGAGCTGCTGGGCAACCAAACACCCTCGTTCTGCTCCCCAGCATCTGCAGGCACACAGCCCTGGCTCAGCCCTACCCAACCTTTAGCAGCTCTCCCCACTCCTTCTTGATCCATACTGGCAAAGTGAGATTCTGCTGTCCTTGTTCCCTGCAATGTGTAGGGATTGTCTTTGTTTTAGAAGTAGCATGAATAATTTATAGTTAGCGATACAACACATTTATCCTTGTTCTCTCATTATGGAGCAGATTGCATATTTCCTTAATCCAGTGATGTTCTCCTGCAACTAAGTGTGCTAAAATTATCTGAACAATCCCAAATTCTAGCTGTGCCGTTAGATCACAGCAGGCCGGCTGCACCGTGCACACTTTCCTGGCCTGGATTTTCACACCAGCATTATCAGGGCACAGTTCTCAATGCGAGTTGTGAGAGTACACATGGAGATTTTGTTTTAAAATACTTCTTATAGAAATACAGGTGAATTACTGATTTAAAGATAAAACACAGACATACAAAACATTCCAGAAATTCATATATGCGTGCAAATTATCCTGAGAGCAAGGGGAAAAATAAGATGAGAAAATGAAGAAACAAGAAAAATGTGAATAAATAAGGAGATGATAATTATTGCTTTGGATTTGTCCTGTTATACAGATATTAAAATCTACAAAGAGAAAGACAAATGATGGTGTTGTTGCTAAAGGAAAGTGCAAGAGATGCATGTACACCCCGGACCAACAACTCAGGGAAGACAGCCTCATCCTGGGGAGAATTACAGTTATTAACACAGGCTCTGGCTTACAGTGAGATTGTGAGATCTTTACTCCTGTTATACATTGGGAAGGGGAAAAAATCCTTTCTAAATGTCTTGCTTATTAAGCCAGTCATGCATTTCACTGTAGGTTGTAAAGCAGTATAACATGCACAGGGGGCTCATAAGCATATTTTAGTGTTAGGGAATATCATTTATACAGTTTTTATATTGTCAATATTACCCCTAGAGAATGAGATTAGGCTTTAAACTACTGTAAATCTACACTTTTGCTCACCTTTGTATAATTTCTTTTTTTAATAGAATGAAGCCCACATAAATGAATATTTGATTAAGGGATAAACCTAATAAAAGAATACATTTATTGCACACAGATTTATTCAAATCTTTGCTGTATAGTACCGTAAAATGCTATAAAATGGTATGTAGCTTGCAGTCAGCTACACTGAGGAGATGGTGAATATTCTTTAAAAAGATGAATTTGACAGCATCACGTTGTCATTCATGTAGAAGTGGTAGCACAGATGCTCCTGACACTGTAATTTCTCATAGGTGGTTGCTGCGTGACGTTGTTGACACCACGGAGTTCAGTTTATTGTGCAGCAACAAAAGCACATTTTGACTTCTGGCATCTCATGGAGAGCTTTATGAAAAGGGAAATATCTAACCATGTGTTTTTTGTTTACTAATCAGTAGTATTTCTTGGCTTGAGGTTTGGCATTTGCTTTTTCTCTTATGAAAGTGCTACAGATACCTCCACTGAACTCTCCTTAAGAGATAAAGGGGAAAAAAATTAGACTTGTTCCAGACTTTAAATAGTCCATGGGCCAACAGTTATCTTAACAACCACTTCTTAGCTTAGTTTGATCAATAATTTGAAAGATAAAATACTTTAAAAACATGAATATGTTATATTAGAAAACATGACTTTCAGCTAACTTTTAAGCTTCAGGTTTACATCACAAGCCAAGTTAATGACGGTAGTCAAATAATTCACTGCTTCTCTTTCTGCAGTCTCCTGCTATGACACTCTGTCAGTAAGCAGCCTGCGATGCCAGCCAGGGTGGAGGCAGGGCAGGGCTCCCAGGGCTATGGGCAGCAGGAAGGGTGCCAGGCTGGGCAGCATGAAGGAAGTCACAGCTTTGCGGTTTCCTAGAGCTTGTTAATGGCCTGATGAGCTCTATCTATTCATGTGTATAATGACCAAAGCCAACACATGGTTTTGCTGACCCAGCCATCCAGCTGAGCATAGTATCAGCTGCTTCACACCTTCCCTTCCCTCTCTGTGTTTGAGAAGAGCCAGCTGAATCAGTGTTACATTCGATCTCCAAATACATCTTACTTGGCAGGGATTAACTACGGGAAGTATTTGCAAAAGGTTGGGCAAAAAATCAAAGTATTGTATCTATCTTAAATCCTGTCAGTTTATGTAGTTTTTCAAGTGGCTAAATGAAGAATTTTGTAACAGTTGTGAATTTGCTCCCTTCTGTGAGAGAGGACTTGTATTCATGGTTGTAAAAACTGTTTCTTTTTTATTAAGAAATTGAGTTAATACTTTAAATTATTTAAAAAATATTTGTAGGGAAGATCAGAGGCTGATTTCATCATAGCCTTCCTTACTGCTCCCACTTTTGGTAAATCAGCTCTTACTTGGAAAGTGCCTACGCTTATCTTTGCCCAGACCTTGTCAGCAAATGGAACAGCATAAATGTGCACACATGCACAGTCACCATCACTATCTGTACAAGTACCAACATCAAATACAGCTGCAGCAGATGCCTTGTGGCCACTTAGCAAGCTACATCCCTAATTCCTGCTGACTTCCACTGGTATAATATGAACATGGTAAGCACATCTATAAGAAGTCCCACCCAATATGGGTGCTTAGGCAGAGGGACATTTTGTAAATCTGGCTCTTGAGCTCAGACCCCAAAGAGAGCAGCACTGCTCCGTGCTGCAACTGCTGCTGTGCAGAGCACCAGAGCTGTTAAATTACTGACTCACTAGAAGCACACTCTAGCAGAATGTCAGCCTTTGGCTTGGCAATAAGGAGTATTTCTGACTTTTTGGGGGCAGGCACGTTGACCTGCAGGTCTTGCCAGTGGCTGTCTTTATTTAGAAGCGCAGCGTTAATGTAAGTTACATCACCTACAGCCTGCTATGGGAAGGAACTTCCTAATAACCAGAAGGAAAAGCAGAAAACAAAAAAGCACAACAATGTTCAGTCTGTGCATTTCTGCTTACCCCTCTCCCCAGGCTTTAATATTTGCCACAGTAAATCTTAAGACAATAATTTTAATCAGCCAAAGGCCTGAAGCTAATTTTAGTCATTTCTTTGGAGGTTCCCATGCTCCCAAACATTCCTCCAGAGATGTTATGTCCCTGGCTCTTCCGATCTTTATTCTTGTTTACATCCAGAACACATATTAAATCATCTCTGTTTGGAGAGTCTGAGCCTCCTTAAAACCATGAAACATTCAATTACTAATTAGCTGTTTCCTGTTCCTAATGAAGTGAACATGTCGGATTTGGATTAAAATTCAGCTACTGCTCTCCTCTGTTTATGGTTCCAGATGTTTTTGTTTTATCTAGGAGGTTACTTTGACAGCTACTGCTAAATGATAAATCACTCATATTATAGCTGAAATGCATTTTGAAATTGAAATGTGGCAAAGTTTGAGATTGCTCCAAGGATCAGTGTCAGTTAGCAGGTCAATACTTGTTCTTTCCTTATGAGTGCTCAGTATTGGCATATGTAAAACAGTAATGGGATAGATGTCAACATTATACAAAATGCTTCTCAATATTATCATTTTGCTTATCATCTTCAAGATCAGTACTTGCAGATTTAGCTGGGTGAATTCATGATTCATTGTATAATGAACAAGAATATGGATTCTTGTTAGATGTAGTCTTAGCTGTAGTTTCTGTGGGCATATTTATTTTTCCTCTGGACTTAGCATTGCTTAATGTGAAAAATCACAGTTGATAGGCAGTATAACTAGGAATAGTCTTACAAAGGATGGAAGTAGCTTTCTACTTGTTTCCCTAAAGAAAGAAAAATAACTTAAAAAGAGAAGTGGAGGTTTCTGAGTGAAATAACAGTTCTCCAAAAAACAGAGATCAATTTACTGCTATTATATTTTTAATGCAGTGCAGTTGTTTTCTAACACTGTTCCCTAGGTTTTGTTCATATAATAATGGTACGTTGTAAAGCTGATGCCACTACCTTGTGTTAGGAGGTAAGCAGTACAACACCAACTGCCTTCTGAGAAGAGACAGTGTTCAGCTAAAAAGCAAACGTCACAAAAGACAAAAATGCAGATCAAAATATGTACAGCCTCTTCGAGCAAATGCCAGCTGGGAGCAGCCCAGGAAACAAGCGGCTCAGGAGAGGAGGTGGGCAGTGCGCTCACTGCCCTGCGTGACACAAACCGCGCTGACTGGGGACTCTCAGGACTTTGTCATTGGGTGCCTCGTTCTCCATAAAAACATATTCACTTTGAGCTCAGTTTGTATCACTTGTAGATCTGATCATTTGTGTCGAGGAAAAAAAAAAGTCCACAAATTATCAAGGAAATCCACCTACATTTCAAATAATTCTAAAACGCGCAACTCTGTAATTGACTTTTTTCCTTCTTTTTTTTTTCCTACAGAAAACAGAACATACATCAAACCTACCATCATGTACTGAAGGAAACACCTATTGTTGAAAAATGTATAATGATCACTATTTGAAGACTATATAGTTCATGAAAAATGTCCCTTCCAACCTTTGATGCCTTCAGTACCGTGTGAGGAACAGGATTTGTAGCATGAAACTTGAAGGACAATTTCAAGCAATTTACTGTTGCTGCATCGAAAACTGCCGTATTGTCATTAAGAAATATTGAGACTTTTTACAAGCTTACCATACCAAACCAAGCCTGTTGCAACAGATCATTTTTAGGTCCCTGGAGATAGAAAGGAGTTTTAGTATTTTTAAGCACATACAGGAATTATTTCCCTTCCCACCCCCGAAGAACTTGTTTTGTTTTGTTTCGTTTTTTTTCCTAAGGAGGTAGCTATTACTGTATAGCAATGGCACAATGATTTTAAGCCACAAAGGTCCACACTGGCTGTACATCATACAAGTCCAGTTTATCACTGAAACTGTTCAACATGGAGCTGTTTCGATTGTGTTTATAAATTAAGCTTTGTTTACTGAAGCAGATACTCGATATATATTACGTTTTAAAAAGAAATGTGTGTACATTTTTTAAAAGAATGATGTAAAAATTGTCCTTTCATTAGATGACCAATTCAGAAGTGTGAGCTAAATCCTAATAGCTGACGTAATATGAGGATTATAATTGATGCTTTTTTATGCTCAGTTCAGCTTGGCTTTTGGTCTTTTAAGATGAAAAAATGAATATGCAGTAGAGTGTTAGATAATGGAAACTTTTAAGTATGGTTTCTCTGTTGTACCATATTAAGTTAAAGTACACATTCTTTGTTAAAAATGTTCTTGCTAAAATACAGTATTAAAATTTTTTTGTTTGACTTTGGAAATCTTTTAAGATTTTTTATTTTTGGACGGTGAATTCCCATCGTTATTGTACTAATGCAGAACAACAATTTGCACTATTAAAAATACTTGAAGAAATTACTTAATAAAGAGGGTGGGTTGGTATGAAACATTTTCCTAATTATTTTACGTTACAAATTCCAAACTTTGCAGGTAACAGAAATATTCCTTTCATGAAATAGGTGACTGAGACAAGAGGAATTAAGTAAGTAGTCACCTATTCATTCACTTCTCTCATTCATGGGTCAAAGGAACAATACTTACTCACAAATGCAAGTTTATATATGCATGCTTATATTTACGTCCTGTACACGCTGAACTCAATCACTGTCACATAAAACAAAACAAAACAAAGAAAACTAGGTAGATCTCTGGGAAATGTACTATATGTCTATTATTACAAATAACCTACAGTGTTAAAGTTTCAGTTTTTCATCACTAGCTTTTCTTCTCAGAGAGTCCCATTTAACAGACTTTTGTAACTTTGTGTAGTTTCAAGCCATGCTGTAGAATACAGCAGAAGAAAATAATTTGATTCTTGATCCCTCAGAGAAACCTGTTAGCTTAACCAGGTCTCAGTTTAAAAAACATGCCCAGCTCCATTATACAGGTGATCAAAATAATTACCAGAATAGTTCACAATGTCTTATAATGCACAAACATGGTTTATTCCATGTAGTTGTACTGCAAGCTTTCTAATAACTGCATTAATCATACTGCCAGTGATTAAATGACCAAAAATGAATGATATGAGGAGCTCTGCAGATGGTGAGTGCTGCAGCACCGAATAAAAGCTTGCGTGAGTAAAATGCTGCAGCACCTGAAACTGAATTCTGTGATTATTTATTAATTTCAGTTTCTATTCCATCAGCATCCTCTGATAGATCATATTTCTAAATCTTTTTTAAAAAACAAAACATTCCTTGGATACTGCATCATTTCTGATTGATCGACTGAATGAGTGCTGGAATTGCAGATTTTGAAGACAGATCTTTGACAAGATCTTGCATTTCAGAAAGACTTAATGTAACTAAATATTTCAGCCTTTGAACTGTTCACATTTTTGCATTTTTCTTTGGTCTCTAAAAAGGCACGTATAGCATTTTTTCCCTCAGTGACTGATCTACATTTCTTAGAGCTGCATTGATGCAGGGTTGATGAGCACATCATTGATTTCTAATTTGCCCTTCCCAGAATAGTTTTAAATGTCAAAGTACTGGTAAATGAGATTTAAGGAACTGATAAACTTCAGAGAGTGAATCTTTTGTTAAGTCCTATTAGGTGGCTCCTGATAAATGCTGACAAACTAAGACAATGAGCTTTCTGCTGCAAGCTGAAACTAACAGGCACACCTGTAACTAACACTTAGGAGGTATTAAGGACGCAAACAAGCATCAGCTGTGGCCAGTTGTGACTGATTAGTTCCTAGAAAAGTGAAGATTTCTTTGTTTTTTCTTTTGCTTCCTATCATCTGGTAGCACCCCACTCTGCATAGGACCCATGTGGTCTGGGCACAGCCCCCAGCTCCGTCGCACTGTAGCAGTGGGGCACAAGGTGATCCCAGCTCGATGCAGGCACCATAATGGCTCATGTATATCAGCAATTTTATGAATCTTGTGTAATGCAGCCTGCTGTCATCATTAAACCAACAGAATCAATTGTGACCAATCTCAATTTAAAACCTGGATCTATAGTAATACACAGCAAGAACGCTCGCTGTTACAAATGAATGGCAGTGCATTAAAAGCTGAATGCTGGTTTAAGTAATCGCTATCTGCAAGTAAGTGGCCGACTAATATATTTATTTACAGAATATTTCTGGTAACATGACAAAACGTGGGCTAACCCAGATTATTATGAATTTCCTTTGTGGCCTCAGCTGAGCTCCACCACCACTCTGTGTGTGTGTGTGCAGTCAGAGCGCAGCCCCAGCGCAGCCCCATTGCCCTGTGTGGCTGTGAGCTCTGGCAGCGAGATGGGGAGGGGTCTGCAGTTCTGTTAAGCTGGGCCACGTGCTGTAGTTATTTGTGGTGCATACTATAGGCGTTAAAACATTACTGTTAATAAAAATTTTAACTTTAGTTCTATCTGCAAGTAAGGGAGTGTTGGACTATCTGAAGTTGGGATGATAGAAGAAAAAACAAGAAGCATTTTTTAATTTCGGAATTTATAGAAAAGTTATGAATTACTGCACTTTGATAATTGTTCCTCAAAGAAATCAATTGAAATGAACCGATTCAGTTCAGCACAGCACAAATACTGCAGCTCACTCCCTTTCCATTAAGCCATCATCCATTTCTGCTTCTGATGGCCAGCTAACATTGGGTTCTTAATAGATCATCCTTCGCATGAAAATTGCAGTATGGTAATAAAAGGAAAGGGAAAAAAGTCTTACTGGAGCTCATTTTTTAAAATAAGAAGAATGATTATTCTGAATTCATTTAGAAATACAGTAAGATTTCACTATATCTTCATTATGTGACTGTTGACATAATCCAAAATTCAGAACATGAACAGAGAACCATCAAAACCATCCTAAACATATTAGATCTTTTATACTTAAGCTTTTTAGAATGACATTTGATGCTTTATCTTTCTTTGAAAATGCATGTATCAGTTGCACAAAAGTGGCGCTGAAATGTGCGCTCACAAGGTTGTGGATGCCTTTCTCCAGCTCTTTGCTTTGGCTGCTGCAACAGAGTTTAGTTACGGGACAAGGAAATGTTTCTGTTGTCTTTAAAATACAGTTGCTCATCTTCATGCTTATTAGGGTCTCATAGCTCCTGTTATGTTGTCTGTTTATCTGCATGGCTAATTGCAGACCTTACCTCTAAGACAAAGCTGTGCACCAGCAGAGCTGGGACAGCCTCAATGCTTAAGGTCATTATCTAAAAATGTTTATATTAAAAAACAACAGGCTCAGTTAAGTAAGGCCATACATACGCTTGCTCTCCCTAATAAGAGAGTAGGTGCCCAGTATTTGGGAATGACTGGTGAGGAATCAGAGAGATGGTGGTGATGGAACAGCCAGAGAGATGGGAAGTTCATACAGAGCTACCCAAAACTGGCCAATCTCTGATGTAATTGTATGGACTCCAGTCAGCCAATGGGATATACACACTTTTCATAGAAGACTGAAATAAAACAACGTATAGACACTCGGTGATTTTGAATCACTGGGTGAATGCTGGTTTTTTTTCTAATAATGGTTGCATTACAGTTCTTTATAATGAATATTAAAATATAGGATCTCTAACAGCAGGAGTATTGAGTGCATTCCAAACACACAGCCTAATGCAAACATCAAGCAGCTTTGTCACAAAATCTCCACATAGGCACAGCCCTGCAGTGCAGTCTATGCAGTGCCTGCAGAGTTTTCATTTGCACCAAGACAGACGTGGCCAAATACAAAGGGGAAAAACATGGATACTAAATGAAACTAGATGAACTTTTTTAAAAAAAGAGATGAATAAATAGACATGAGGAGTCAAATTTAACTGGCTCCAGTGCTAGTAGGATGTGCATTTAACTTCAATTATGTTTCACTGTCTGTGAAGAAGAAATACCTGTTTCATGTTTTCCCTGTCGATTCCTGCCATTAGCTAAAGTCTGTTTATTCCCAGAGCTGTGCTGCCATCAGTTGATGATGCTGGGGCACTTACAGAGATGTTTTGGCTGGGGAAAAAAAAAAAAAAAAAAAAAAGCTCTATCATTCTTAAAATCATGAAACATAATGTTTTTGTTAGATCAGTTCAAAGTAGTACCATTTAAATTGTTGCATTTTCTCTCTTGATGTGAAATGGGAATAAAAAGGAAAGAAAAACTTGCTAAAAGTAGGAAATGAGACCAAAAGAAGCTGGTAACCTGGGTAATGAGGAATAAGCTCCCTATTGGACTGGGGTTCTTTTAATAATTCCATAAAACTGATGAAGACAGAAATGGTAATCAGAGATTTTTTGTGTCAGATCAGTGCTTTGCATTTTATGTGATCATTTACACCTGTGCAAGTATTTGATAGCATTTGACAGCTGATTTATTAGCATTTGACACCCATATTACACATGTTGAAATGACTCTACAACGTGCAAAGCAGTGGAAAAACCAGTGATTCCTTTCATAGCTTTATCCTGGTAGTTTAATACTGAAATTACATTCCAAGGAAAAAATGAATTCCTTGCACCTTGATTGTAATTCTTTATTTCTTCTAATATTTAATATGTTCAGCTCACGCTAACTTGGAAAAAAAGAAAAAGAGAAAAGCAGTTGTATTTAATTCACAGACCGGCTCTGAAACCGAATCAAAATCAGGCCACGCTCGTAACGCTGCAAGGAGTCACAGAAAAATGAGACGTCTGCTATTGTGATGAGAAGCACTGCAGGACTAAGACTCTTGATTTATAGCAGCACTGGTAAGTAAATTACATATTTTTGGTAGTTAGTAGTTTTTCAAACAAACAGAATTTTTCACCAACTGAAAGCTGCATTTTCACAGACATCGTTTTTGGTGTCTTCTAGGAAAACGTTCAAGAATCCCCTAAGCCTCGGTTTCTCTCGTACTCATTTTTGAAGATGGGCAGTAACACACTGCTCAGAATCCATATAAGAAAGAAGGCATGGATCAGTTTAATACTTTCTGGAATTTGGTGGACTTCTCAGTTTTTTCAATATCAGAATAGTTGCAGTGAGTAAAAGAAAAACTCAGTGATGACAGCAATAGTGTGTACATGCATAAAAGGTTATAGGAGATCTAAGTTCACACGAAGCAAAGTAGGCCTTTCTCCACCCCAGGAAATCCAGCCCAAAAAGAAGCATCACGATCACGTTCAGACAATGACAGTGTAAATTACCCTGCACAATTTGTCAACTGTGCAATTATTTGCAATGTAATTGCCAATGGTGTGTTGACACAATGTGGTAGCTTAATAATAAAATAATAATACAGTTTGCTCATCTTGTACCAGCCTGATTTCAAAAAGAAAAGCCTCTCAGATTTTACACATCACAGTGGTCTTTCCAGCTAAAATAATGAGCTAGCTGGTGCAGCATGAATAAGTAAAGTATTTGTGAAGTTCATGGACTGGTGAAGAGGGAGGACCAATTTGCCAGGCTCTGAATTACTGACAGATTGAATGACCCATGTCTAGGCTTGTCACGTTACTTTACATTACACATCGTAACATAATCCAGCAGAACATAACCTGGGAAAAAATTACTTCAGCACTAGATTGCAAGATTTTCAAGGTTATGTGTGTTTGATTGTCACGGGGCCCACATTTTCTAGATCAATTATAGTGGCCTTTTGCTGGCACCTATTGATAAGGCGAGGAAAGCAGCCGCTAGTTCACCTTTGCTCAGAATTAAACCCTCCCCCATTTACCAGTGTCTGTCTTTTGGTCTAACAAAACTTAGAGAATACAAAGCATCTCATACTCATTACAGCCACTCTTTTCTGTGCTCACTGTGCTGATTTTAGCTTCAGTTCCTTGCTCTGAGCAGCCTGCCTAGCCAATTTTCAGAAATGGAAAGAAACTCAAATATAAATTGAAGGACAATGAAATTACTTATTTTGAAACAAGAAAGAAAACAAGTCTGTTCTCCTTTCTTAACATGAGAGTTATATCTTGGAGTGGGCAGCAGGGGAAGAAAGAAACAAGCCTGACCATATATTTATGCATCTGGTATCCAGTGAGCGTAGCAAAAGGGAAAAAAGGTCCCATTTGCTTATGTGTCAGAGAAGGACTAGTTCCCAAGGACAGCAATTTCAATAGAATGCACCTCAGTATATAAGATTTTACAGCTAAGATGCAGAAACAGAGAAATGACCAGTAGTTACTACTGATGAGATCTAACTGCTTAGGCATTTTGAAAATTAAAGATTGAAAGATAATGTAAGATAACATCAGCTGCTGCAAATGGGCTCTGTCTCTTTTTGGCTTAAGTTTTATTAGGAATTTGAACATGACATCTCTTCCTGATGAACACATTCAGAGCCTATTAATGTCAATGAGAGTTATGCTTACATGGCAGAGAGAGCAGATCTTTTTGTTGTGCATGTCCAGAGTCTGACTCACAGCCTCAATGCCTATGCCTCGCAAATAACAAGCTAACAAGGATTTACTTTGTGCAGTGTATTTCCACAAAAGTAATCTTTTAAATAGCATAATGAATTAATATTTACTTAATAGCTTTTACATTATTTATTTCTTAGCTTCTATTTTATAGTCTTCTAGAATAGAAAGATAGAAATATTTACTCACTCCTCATCCATGCAGTTTATTCTAACCTGAGCTGGAGCCAGCTCTATTCATTGTGCTGCCTTTCAGCTTGATGCTGAAATCAGGAAAGGAAACTAATTGTTGAAAAACTTAGGTATGTGATTTAAAAGAATACATAAAGAAGCACGTACTCATGTCCCCATTTTACTACAAACCCCCTGCTCCCACTCCTGTCTCCTCTGTCAATGTGTGGGGGTGTATGAATATGTAAAAATAAGATTACCTCAAGCTCATTACTGTCCATTGACAGAGTTCTGTTGTAAAAACTTTTGATGAATAGTCAGCATCTAATTCCTGAGTAATAAAAAAAACAACCCAAAGTTACTTGCAATCATTATTCCAAATGGAAAAATTAATTGTAAATAACTGGAAGTCAATTAAGGCTGAGTTCTGCCGGGTAATGCAAATCTTTTATAGTTTTGTTTCAGTTAACTGCCTCATTAATGATTTATAGATGTGTATACAGCTGTGGGAACCATAGCATTATCTAATGCACTCAGAGAATAATTACATATGAAAAGAACTACGCAGCTCAAGGGAAAAACTGAGAAATTACTTACTGCCTGAACTTCAAGCATAATAAGATGCAAAGTATTTAGAAACAGACTGTGATGTTTTATCTTATTTCTGAGGTTTTATATTCCCTTTAAAAAGAGAAACATAATTCTTCCCCCCAAAATTGTATACTTCAGTATTACACATTACACAAAACATCAAAACTTCTCAAACTGACAATAGAAGTAGTTAATTTATTATTTAAAACCCTAAGTTATAAAACATTCCCATTCCCTTTCGTGCATCTGTTATATAGGAAAAGAAGACATTTCTACAGTTAAACAATTCATGGGCATATGCATTCATCTTCCTAATTTACACAGAGCCAGAAGTGATTTTGGAAATATTCCAGGAGCCGTTTTCCTGGATACACAAATATGTTGGTAGTTGTTCTTTGGTGACACCATTGTTTGAGGTTATCTTGTTTCTTTTTATAAAATATTCTTCTCACTCATGAAACTTACAGACCTAGAAGGATGCTAGGTCCAAATTTAACACAATTTACTGCTTATTTCTTATAAATCTAACTCAGTGATAAGCTGCTTTTGGGCTCTTGCAAGCAAAGGATCCTTTGCTTTCAAGTCTGCTTTTCTTCTTGCTTAAAGCTAGGGAGGTCAGGGTCTTCCTCACCAAAATCAGGCATTTAAAAGCCATTGCAGAAATAGTGCATGCAGTTGTTCCCTATAACAATCCACCCAAAGCTTATGGCATTGTTATGAGCAAATTCTCTGTTGCATGGCTTTGGAATCAGGATAGAAGAGCAGAGAGCTCTCTCCCTCAGTCCTCTGCCTCCTGAAAGCATCACTTACCTTCAGGATGGAAGGCGATCACCTTCCCCTGCTTTGGGCCATAACAAGATTCTATGAAACTCCTCTTGACTTGATCTGTTTCTGGCTCACACTTGGTCTGCTACTGAGAGTAGTAGTTGTTATGTTCCTTTGTATTTCCCAGCCTTCTATCTGGCATGCCTTAGCACCCATTGCCTCTCACTGAGGCTGGCTTTTCTGGAATATTCTCCCTGTTGTGCTGGCCATCAAGTTTCCTCATGCATTTCCCTCTTTTCCCCCTGAAAAGAATAAATAATCTTCCCTTTCAGGAGAGAATGGGGTAGGAGGAGGACAGCAGAAGCTCACTGCATGGAATCACAGCAGCACTGAGTTAGAGACACCACCAGACCACTGCTCCTCAGCATCTGGGCTGGAGGATGGAATGAATGTTCTATGTAATGTGTAATACTGAAGTATACCATTTTATTGGGAAGGACTATTTTTCTCTTTCTAAAAGGAACACAAAACCTCAAAAATAAGATAAAACATCACAGTCTGTTCCTAAGTATGGAGCACCAAATGGTCAGTATTCTGCTTGCGGAGTAAGATTGCTGACTCCATAGACAGAGATGCTCAGACAAAAGCAAGGCTTTGCTTTGCAGAAATTCTACAGTACCTTTGCATACCTTTCAAGGAACACTTACACACATTTATAGCTATGCTTATAAATTTTTGCAATCACTGGAAAAAATTACTCATTACAGATTTCACAAATTTACAGACTAATTTATGTTAATGAGGTCTTGTGTCTGAACTCCGTGCTCAACAACTTACGCATCATTTGTGACCATGTGTGAAATGAAAATGAAGTCAAAAGCATGGGAATAATTAATTTGGAGATTACATTGCCAGAGAGTACGATAGAAATAGATGATTGAAATTGTCATTAAATATTTGTAGCGTTCGTTGTCTTACTTGGTAATGAAACATTACACCAGTCTACAAGAACTAATTAATAGTGGCAAATCAAGTATCACTTAGCATTAGAAAATTCTAAGCTTTTTAAGTATCATTCAAT